TCTTCCTGAGAGATGCTAAGGCGGTGGAGAGACTGCACAATGTGCCTTTCCAGGGGGTGTTTCTCTCTATTGATTATTTGAAATGTTAAACTGGATTACATTTTACTTTAATTGTACCATTTGAAATTAGATTCAGGTAAGATTTCAAACTCATTAAATAAATGGCCCATAGGACATTTGGGGGAATATCTCAAAAAAGAAAATGTAAATAGAATCTACGTATAAAAGAATGATCAATTTAACAAGCTTTAAGGGAAATGCAAACTAAAACAATGTGATATAATTTGCAGCCACCAGACTAGCAAAAAATATTCAAATATTGATAATATCCAGTTTTAGCAAGAAAGAATGTGGGGAAAAATTAGCAATGAAATAGTTATGAAAGTACTTTGGCAGTATTTGGCATATGTTCTAATCCCACAATCCTACTCCTAGAAAGCATTTCTGTAAAAATAAGAGCACGGATTAGGACACACATTTACAGCCTGTGCTATATGAACAAAACTGAAATTAGCTGGGACTATTGAGTAAATAAAATACATTTTATATGCAAAATATAGAATTTGTAGATAATATATCATTTTTATTTTTATATAAAAATATATGTTTATATCTGCCCATATGCATATACATGCATGCATACCCAGACCTGTGTATACACACATTTACATACCTGGAAGAATGTTGCTGATGTGTTAAGTGGAAAGAGCTGGTTGAAGGGTAGAATACATGATATGATAACATTTTTGTTTCTAAAAAAGGGGAAGATACTCCATATGAACATATATTTATACTGTTGTTGGAAAAAGTTTAAAAATTATGGAAACATCCCCACAAACTGCCATCATTGGCTCACTTGGGAAAGTAGAGGTGGAAAGGCAGTGAGGTATGATTAGTTTATATACCTTGGTGTTATTTCAGTTTTACAACAAACATATTACTTTTTGTAATATAGGAAACTATAGGTTTGTAACTAGGAAAATGTATATAAATTTCAAGAGGACAGATTTCAGATTGATATGAATAATTTTCTGATAGGCAGGATTATTTGGAGTTAGCGAGGGCTCTTCAAGAGGTCACTAGTCTTTCTTAATTGTAAGTGGTCAAGCATAAGTTAGATGGGGACAGTGTTAGGAAGGAGATTCTAGTATAAGATGCAAAGTTGGACAATGTAGCCTCATTGGTCTTTTTAAATTATGACACGCCAGGCTTCTATAGAGTCCACATTTCAAGGCATTTCTGTGTTTGGCCAAATGAGATGGTAGACTCTCATTTCAATGCATTTTTGCATCTTTATTTACTTCAAATTAGTAGGAAATGTTGAAATCTAGAGTCATACTAAACTATTTCTTTAGCTCTGATCCCCCCTCAAGCAGCAAATAAAATTATAATACAATGTGATAAGTGCTATTCTGAAAATGTGCTTTGCAAGGTGCATCTAAGCTATCCTAGGAGTGGAGGGATCAAGGAAGGGTTGCTGGAAGAGGTGACACCTGAGCTGAGTCTTAAAGGATGTTATCTCAAGGCTCACCTCCTCTGCAAAGTGCGAACCTCCACCTCACTGCACTTTGTACCCAATCTCCATGATCGCTTGCATTGCACTAATTGTCTTCATATGTATCTTCCTTCCTAGTTTCTAATTGCTAGGGAGAAACTATGAGTTTTATTTATCATTACACCTCAGCCATGACTGCATGACTAGCAGAACATCCAATAAAATATTTATAGAATTGATTGGTTTTCATTTTAGTTCATAACTCACAGCCATAGTGAAGGACATCCATTCTTATGAATTCTCATGATGAATAGTAATTCACAGCACAGTTCTGCATCAGCTTTTGAGTTAGTTGTTGTTGTTGTTGTTGTTGCTGCTGCTGCTGCTGTTGTTTTGAGACAGAATCTCACTGTCACCCAGGTTTGAGTGCCGTGGTGCAATCTCTGCTCACTGCAACCTCCACCTCCGGGGTTCAAGCGATTCTCCTGTCTCAGTCCCAAGTAGCTGGGATTATGGACGTGCGCCTCCAAGCTCAGCTAAGTTTTGTATTTTTAGTAGAGTCAGGGTTTCACTATGTTGGTCAGGCTGGTCTCAAACTCCTGACCTCAGGTAATCGGCCTGCCTCGGCCTCCCAAAGTGCTGGGATTAGAGGCATGAACCAATACACTCGTCCTATTTTTGAGATTTTCTGCTGCTACTCCAGCTCAACCTGACTGAGCTTTCACTTTTTGTTCCTACCGCTGTGTGTGCATCTGAACAATCCACAAGCCTCACACACTCCTGTAGCTTCCCTGCCTCCCTCGGAGCTGTATCCACCATGACCTCTTGACCGCGGCTGAGGGAGAAGGACAAGGGTCATGCCACTATCCTAGCACCCTCTATCAAGAGCCACAGTCATCAGAACCATGGAGTGACTGACGGGGTGAGTGTGCTTTCATCCCTCCATCTCCGGAAAAAATGACGGGAGCTCTGAAACCATTTTGAAACCTGAACGTCGTGGCTTGACTTTTTCTAAACTGGTAGCTGTGGGCAGGTTAAAATGATCTGGTTCTAATTTCATACATTTCTAAGTTTGAGGCAGAATGAGGCAGTGGAAATTCATTATAATGCAGTGTTTCCCAATGTGTGAGACACGTTCTGCCCAGGGTTTGCAAAGTGATTCTGTGTGTACACATATAAACGTGCTTTGGTTAGGAATGTATTTGTGTAAGTTATCTATTTTTAGAGTCATATATTTATGCTTTATTTGGGCCAAATAAAATAATGTGTTAATTTAAATTCATTGTTACACAAATAAGAGTATAAGTGCATTTGGAGAATTAAAGTCAGGAAACACTGATATATTCCATTCCTCAGGGTTCCGGGCCTGCTCTAGATGCTGAGGACCCTAGAGAGAATAAAACAGACAAAATCCCAGCCCTCCAGAGCCAATATTCTGATACAGTGGAGACCATCAATAAACAAACACAGCATGCCAGCAGGAGAGGAGTGGTTTCGAGAAAAGCGAGGAGGGGTTGGTGGGGGGCTGGGGTGTCACTATTTTGTGCAGGTGACCCACTGATGATGCCACAGAGACCTGAAGGAAATGGGGGCCGGCCTGGTCTCTCAACCCTGCCAAAGGGTTCTTTGCAACACTCCATGCTACCCGCTGGTACTCAAGCTCCTTCTGCTCTACCCTGAGCTAGGCCTGATACAATGGCTGACAGACAAAAGTATCTTTTAAAAAAATTTTTTATGTTTTTGTCTTTTCTCTGTGTCCTCACATGGCAAAGAGAAGAAACAAGAGACAGCCAGACAAAACATCTTAATGGGATATTTAGTCTCTTTGTTTCATCCAAGAGGGATCTACCAAAAGGGATCACCTCCTACAAATGTTAAACAGGTTTAGGGTTTGTACAGCAGCTCATGTGGGTTCAGGGATGTGCAGTCATTTCCCAACGTGTCATCATCCCTGGTTCTGATAAAATCTAGAGTGGAACCTGTAAATCAGAGGGCTTCACCCCTGAGCCCACAGCAACACCACCAAGGCACAGGGTCCCCACTGTGCACAAGAATACAGCTTCTCTCTTTTGCTGCCCTTTCAATATACCAGTCCTTACTAAAGCACGCAAAAACTGTGCTTTTGCCCCAGCATTTGAGAAGTTTGTGAATAGGCACCAGCACTTGGATATTGACTTTTCACACAGTGGTGACTTTTAAATTCCTCTATTGCTCCTGACTGAGTTTAGCAACCTCTTGACTGTTCTGGAAAACCAAAGAACTTGGGAAACAATCAAACAAACAAGTATTAAATTCAATCACCCAGAAACACTGGGGAGGCAAATGTAATTTTACTCCTAAGAATCTAAAGCCCCCATAATAAATACTTCTTTGCTGACTGGCAAATGAATGTTTCTCAGCCCTTCTCATGCCTAGAGACACCAAGAAATGGGACAGCTTAAAAATGGTTTGTGACCAAGACTGGAGGCCTCTATGGAAGTCCAGCACACTTCAACTCAGCTGCCAGTGGTGCTGAATCCTGGAAAATGCTGAGAACCCTAAAAGTGGATTAAGGAAAGGCTGTCGGTGCATCATCTCCCCCTATCCTTGGCAAAGCCAGGTAGCAGGTTCCCGATCCCCCAGATTCCAGCTCTTCCAAATGTTTCTCAGGAAAGAAGACCGCCCTGTTGCTGATGGCCCAGGAACCTGCCCAGGAAGCTCAGGGGAAATAGCAAGATGAAGACAGTCCTCCAGTCTCCCCTCACCAATGCCCTGCAGCTCACCACCCTTTCCTGTCCTGTATACTTGTCTAGGAATGAGATCCCCAGAAGAGATCAGACATGGGACCACAGTGTGTTGATGGGGAAAGGCAGAAAGGGATCACTTTGGAATATGAAATCAATCAAGAGAGGGTAGTTCCTAGTGAACAGCCTAATGATTCCATGACTGAAACGAAGAACTAGGTGCTGGGAAAGCAATGAAGAGAAAAGCTGCCAGAGACACAATCCATGAAGACCTTGGTGAAGTCCCACCTATTAACACAAAAGGTGCCAAGTCCCAGAATTGTCAGTGTGCAGGAGGGACCCAGTGAAAGCCTTGTGGAATGAACTTGCTGGTGGCCCAGGATGTGCCATCAGAAACTACTCCTGTTTTCCATGCTGTATACCAGTAGCACTGAGCAGAGTCCCTTTAATGCAGAACAATGGTTAGGCCATATTACTCATTTAACTGAAGGGCTAGGTATGTAGATGGGGTTTTTAGACACTATGAAAAGTTGAGTGTGGTGGAATTTGAGCTGCATTTAGACTTATTTGGCTTTTATGAACTTTCCTAACTGTACGGCACCCTGAAGGTGTGTTAGCAAGATTCAGCATCATTTGATCTTGGTTCCTTGTGGTGTTAGTGGCTTGAGTTTCCTGTCGAAGGCATTCCTGGTAAATCATTCCAAGCAGTTAGTTACTTTGTATATCTTATTTGCTGTTATCTTGTAGTTACCCCTTGCACCCCATTAAATTCTAGCATGCTGTCATGAAAAGGACACCCAGGAGAAACACAATTTATTTAATTAAAATCAAAATTTGTTAAGCACTAAGTTCACACTGGGCATAATTAATAATTTTCAAACCCTTAAATAGACATTCATATACATAACATCTATTTAAGTCTCAATAACATTATATTGCATTCCAGAAATCTGTCACTCCCCTTCACCTCCCACATCACCCACCCCCCGACACACATAAATATTACATGAGTTAATTCAGGTTATATACTTTAAATTAAGTTGACACAATGTACTTGTGAATAACAAAACATGTTCAGAATGGAAACATTTTTTGAAAACACAGAAAATGTGCAAATTAGTGACAACTTATCTCCAAAACTTTATTACACTAAATCCTTCTTGTCTATTCTGAACCACCTAACATGCTGTCAGTAATATGTTAAAAAGTTTTTAAAAGAAACAGACTGTTATAAACATATTTCTAGCAGTTCTCATTGTATTTCAAAATAACTATAAAATCAATGCACTTGGCTGTGGTTTACTGACTGCTTTCCAAGAATTTTTTAATCCAGGAAAGAAGAATATCCAGTTCACTGATGGCTTTGTAGATTCCTTTGTTTCCAATCTGCAGATAAAGTACAGATATAAGAGAAGAAATTTTTCATATTTTGAAAAACAAAGTGTTTTAATATAAAGATTTAGAATTCTTACCCTATAAAATATTCTTTTCATCCTGGTAATGGATTTCATCTCTCTAGCTGATGAAGCACAGGAAATCTAAGAAATCAACAGTAAGTACAGATAATATTGTTGAAGAGGCATTAATGATACTGTTTCATTCATTCAACAAATATTCATAGAGCAGGTATTATGTACTGAGCAATAGATATGCACTGGCAAAATAAATAATGCATGATCTTTTCCCTCACAGAGCTTAAAGTTTCATAGGAAAGCAGATGATAAATAAAACAAAAAATAAAAATTTACAAATTACAATTAAAGCTATGTTAGCAACTCTCAAAGCTCTATGATAGGGATTTATAGGAACCACCTACCTTCGATTGGGTGGTCAAGGAGGGCTCCTTGGAAAAATAACATTTGTATTAGCCCATTTTCACACTGCTGTAAATAACTACCTGAGACTGGGTAATTTATAAAGAAAAGAAGTTTAATTGACTCACAGTTCTGCATGGCTAGGGAGGCCTCAGGAAACTTACAATCACGGCAGAAGGTGAAGGGAAACCAAAGCACATCTTACATGGCGGCAGGAGAGCAGCAAAGGGGGAAGTGCCACACTTTTAAACCATCAGATCTCGTGAGAATTCATTTACTGTCATGAGAACAGCACAAGGGAAACTTCCCCCATGATCCAATCGCCTCCCATCAGGTCCCTCCCTCCACATGTGAGGATCACAATTTGAGATGAGATTTGGGTGGGGACACAGAGCCAAACCATATCAACGTTTAAGTTGAGATATCAGAAATGGGAAGGCACAGGCTATATGAGAAACTGAGGAAAGGAGAGAGGAAGTTGGGGAAGAGACACAAGAGAGTAACTCAGGCAGAGGAAAATATACTCCTCTGAGGCAAGATAGCTCAGTGCCTTCCAGAAACTGAAAGAAAGCAAGCAAGCATGGCTGGAGCAATTAAGCAAGAGAAATGTGGGAAGCATGAAAGACGTGAGAATGACAAGAAAAAACATTTACCTTTTAAAAAATCACTCTGCCTGTCATGTACAAAGCACAGAACAATGTTCAGTGTAGACTACAAGGGGAAGGCACCCAGGACATTAATATTAGTTTCTAAATTAGGAGAAGCAGCAGGCTAGTATCTTGAGCAGCTGGCTTGTAGCCTGGCTGGCCAGGGGAAACTACCAGTCCGCTTTGTACAAGTGAATTCTCAAACCCTGTCTGAGCACAGGAATCACCTGGGCGTCAAGCAGAAGAAAGTTAATATCCTACTCTATTCTCTCACAAATTTCTATAGGACTATTAAAAGAAAAGAAAGGAAACATGAAAACGCCTAATTTATCTACTTAGTTTTTACTCGTAAAACTTTTAGTACTGGAATAGACCAACGAGATTGAACAGGCCGATTGTTTGCACTTTGCAGGAAGGGAGGCCAAGGCCCAGGTAGCTAAGTCACTCACCTAACATCCCACAGGAAGTCCTATGCTAGTGACAAAATAGTGTCACTATCTAACAGTTAAAGATAAGAGTTAAAACTCATGAAATGGAAGTGGCTAAATGATAACATTTAGTCTCTAAATGTCCTCCTGACAAAAGAATGTCACATCAATAAAGACAACACTTTGTTCAAATGCTTGAAATGAAAATGGCTAAATGATAATATCTGTTAAAATGAATAAAACATTGAATATTCATAAAATGAATAAGACCTGGTCAACGAACAGGTCTCTTCAGAGGTGTTAATGTTGGCAATGGTTTTATGGCTCTGCCCAAATGGGGATGCTACCTTCAGGTCAGACCCTGGTAGGAGGGAAGAGACTCTTCCTGTGAACGGGGCTTTCATGATTAGGAACAGCAGAATGCTGTGATCGAGGGGCTGCAGACACAGACACAGACTGCTCAGCTTAAGGCACAGTTTGCAGGATTCACGAACACAGGGTTAGACCTCACTGTGATAGGAGCCCTGACTTCAGAATGCTCTCTAGGTGTATTTCATGTTACATTTGCACTGAACTGTACAACATGGGGTTCTTTCTCTGGGGTGAGTGGAATGTTCTAATCTGTCATTAGTGTGTCTGTGAACGCTCAGTAAAACTTCATCCTAATATTTAACGCATAGAATCCTTTTTAAAAGTAGTTCCTCGTGTTTCTAAAATCCTCATGTTTCTAAAATCATGTGTTAGGATTTAAAGATTTAACACTGAAGGTGAGAGACCAAAGAACCAACCACATTCTGGACACTACAGAAGTTAAATAAAACTAAGGCATTCCTGTCAACTGTGTGTTCTGCCCAGGGAACTTGGATGTGCAACGCATCCCACAGCAGATGGGAACTGCCAGAGAAATTTTGTCCCTCACTCACACCAAAGGCACATGCTACTCTAGGAAGAGTAATGAGAGTCAAAAAGGAGGAAAACACTGTTCAACTAAAAAAGAAAAAAACTAACAGTGCCAGGGTTGCCACTATAACTACACTCTGGTTGAAGGGATACTTCCTGGTGCCTTGAGCACTGTTTACTATGAGTGACCCCTAGTAACGATCTGACCTACGGAGTTCCCATTTTCTTTATACTGTTGTAAATGTGTCCACAGGTCCAGTAGGATAGCAGATTTTACTGCGGTAATTCAGATTGCTTTGCTTGGAAAGAGGAATTTATTAAAAGAATGATTTCCTTTTCTTTATATTTTTGAGTCTAGTTGCAGTGACTGAAATTAGAATGTGTGATAAAAGGGTTAGCAGTTTTATCATAAGAATGGCTGAATGATTTGACAAACTCAACAGAAGCTGACATGATCTAGACCAGAGGCAATTTATTGGTAGGGCTAGAATAACTAGAAATCAGCTCAAAGAAAAATGTGAGATAATCATGTCATAGGAAATATTCATTATTATTAAGTCAACATATTTATCACATACTTACTATAGGCTAAGCATACAGCAATGCCTCTGCCATATAGCACTGATTTACAGTTGACAATGAATGATTTACCGTTGAACAATGCAGGGTAACGTTAGGTGCACTGACCCCCCCCAGTGAAGTTAAAAACCTGCATATAACATTAGACTCCCCTCAAATTAAACTACTAATAGCCTACAGTTGACCGGAAGCCTTATTGATAACATTAATCAATTAACACATATTTTGTGAGAAAGATCATAGATAGATAGATAGATAGATAGATAGATAGATAGATAGATAGATAGGTAGATACTGTATTTTTATAATGAAATAAGCTGGAGAAAAGACAATGTAACTAAGAAAATCACAAGGAAGAGGAAATATATTTACTATTCACTAAGTGGAAGTGGACCATCGTAAATGTCTTCATCCTTGCCATCTTCATGTTGAGCAAACTAAGGAGGAGGAGGAAGAGGAGGGGTTGGTCTTTCTATCGCAGGGATGGCAGAAGTAAAAGAGGTGGAGGAAGTGGAAGGGGAGGCAGGAGAGGCAGGCACACTTGGTGTAACTTTAAAGAAATACATAGTAATTTCTGTCTGACTTTTTTCATTTCTCCAAAAATCTTTCTATACAGTACTAACCCTTCTTCCACCATTTGCTTTAGTTTCAGTCCTTGTGTCATAGAAAGTTCATGCCATAAAAGAGGTTAAAACCACTCTCAGATAATCGGAACCGTTCTGCCAATTGTCTATGCCAGTTTGTTTTCTGTCATTGTTTCTTCTATGTCTTCTTCCTCATCATCTGGCACTGGTTCAGAAACACTCGTCTCCATCAAGTCATCTTCTGCTAATTCCTATGGTGCAGTGTCTACTAGCTCTTGAATTTCTCCAAGATCCTTCCTTATCTTGATATCTTCAACCCGCCCCCACCCCACCATCTTTTTGCCATATCCACAATCTATTTTGTGATTTATTTTATTGGTTCTGTTGTAAATTCTATGAAGTTATGTACAACATCTGAACACACCTTTCTCCAGCAGGAATTGTTTCAGGCTTGATGAGTTTCGTGGTTTTTTCTATAGCAATGATAACATCTTCAGTAGTGTAATCTAAACTTTGATGATGTTCCCTCCATTGGTGTTCTCTTCCATAATGTTGACAATCCTTTTTGTAGAATACCACATGTAATGAGCCTAAAAGGTCCTTATGATCCCTTGATCTAGAGGCTGAATTCGAGATGTTGTGTATGGGGGCAAGTAGATTACTTCAGTGCCTTCTGTGTTGAATTCATGGGGTTCTGGGGGGCCAGGAGCATTGCCCAATATCAAAAAAAAAAACTTTAAAAGGCAGTTGCTTACTGGCAAGGTACTTCCTGACCTCAGGGACAAAGCACCAATGGAACCAATCCATAAAAAATGTTCTCATTGTCTGGGCCTTTATGCTGTACAATAGAAAGACTGGCAGCTGGTGTTTATCTCTTCCCTTCAAGGCTCAGAGGTTAGCGGCTTTATAAATAAGGGCAGTCCTGATCATAAACCTGACTGCATTTGCACAAAACAGTAAAGTTAGCCTATTCCTTCCTGCCTCAAAATCCTGGTGCTCACTTCTTTACTGATAAATGACTGTAGCATTGTTTTCCAGAATAGGACACTTGCATCTAACATTAAAAACCTGTTCAGGCAGATATCCTTCCTTCCCAGTGATTGTTTTAATGGCATCTGGGAACTTGTCTGCTGCCTCTTGGTTGGTAGAAACTGCTTTTCTTGTTATGTTGACAGTTTTTTAAGCCAAATGTCTTTCTAAATTTTCAAACCATCCTTTGCGGGCATTAAATTCTACAGCTGTAGATCCTTCATCTTTCTGTTGCTTTAAATTGTCATATAATGACTTCACTTTTTCTTGAATCGTGTCAGAGTCTATAGTCACGCCTTTCTTTTAGCAGTCCTACACCCACGTGAAAACCGCATTTTCAATAGGAGATTTTTTAAAAGGTGTTTCTGGAAAAGTGCAAGGTTTTCACACCTGCTGGTGTAGCTGTAGTGGTGGATTCAGAAATTTCCTTTTCTTTTTTCACAATAGTCCTTATCCTGGATTTGTCAGGCAACCTCAGCTGCAGACCTCACTCTGTGGTACATATCAAGCAATTCAACTTTTTCTTGTAATGTCATGACTTTTCTCTACTTCTTGGG